CCCGAACTCATGCCGGGTTCCACAATGACTTGAAGGGCTAGGATACGGTTCCTTGTGGACTTGCCAGGAGTGAATAGACTTCTCCGGTCTTTGTTGCCATAGCAGGTGGCTGCGGATCGGTTCCAGAAGAATGTGGGCCCTGGCTGGAATACCGAGCTATATGATGCCACGGTAGTTGCTACAGTCCCAACGATCCCCTTTCACCTTCTAAAGAGGGATGGCCACGCCCTTCAACAGGTCTGAGGGAATGGAACCGGACTGCCAGCCAGGACAGTATGCAAGCTCCGTGTATAGGTTCACCCCTAGCCTTTAGCAATTCAGCAGGGATATCGCATGAGCCTGCAGCTTTCCCCAACCTTCAGCTTAGAGATCGCCTCTCTAACCTGTCAGGGTAGGAGGATCCTCACACACACATATATAATAAGATCATGTTTGAATCTGTGAACTGCTTACCTCAACCTAAAAATACATCAATTAAATTATGGGAGCCACCGCAATTAGCACAAATGCGTGAGTGCGGAGCAATTTGAACGGGCATGATCAAGTTGGGCACATAGAGGGCAACGGGCTGTGGAGACAGTGCTTGGCAGGGTACAAAAACGCCAACATTTCTGTCACTGAAGGGGAGGGGTTGATATTGATATGGTAGAGGGGCAGAGGCACTTCACGGATATAAACTTCATGGAGGGTAGGTAAAATATTTTGGCAATATTGGTGTAGGACTTTTGGTACCCCTGTGGGAATAGTGCTAGCACTATACTGATACTGTATGACAGTCAGCGAGGCAGGCAAAAAGGTCGTTTTTACCGTCTGGCCAATCTTTATTGTATACAGGGCAATTAACTGGGGAGACAGAAAAGCTCCAGTGAGGTCAGTCAAGGTAGATAATGCACTGACGTGGGATTCCGATGCAACTATTACAAGGCTTGAACGATAGGAATCTTTGCTTCCTTATTTTGGAGGCCTTCTTGGAAGTGGAGAGTTGTCAGAACAAGGGTTAATGGTTAATGGTTAAAATAAATGTGCTAGACATCTATGGTCATATAGCACTATAGGAAGGTATAGTAAAGGGGGATGTCAGGTGATATTTGCCTATGTGTGTTAGAAAAGGGGCTGCAGGCGGAATCGATCCACTTGGCTGGCTAAAAGAAGTTATTCAAAAAGCTTGCCAGAGGTCGGAAGTGATCGAAGGACCGAATTAAGAGAAGACGAGTGGTGTGGGAGTTGTGAAGTTGGTTTTTTCGCTATTAAGAGTTTTTGTTGGGGGAGTGTTTATGACTGAGAGTTTTTTTTTTATTTTGTTAGTCCGATCTAAGAGTTTTGATGCTTGAACGTTCAATTGTATGGAAGTTAGTTTTCTGTTGATTTTTATTTATCAGTGGTTTTCTTTTTTTTTGAGGAGTTTCTGTATTTGAGCTGTTTATTTTTTGTGTTTCTTTGTTTTTCTGATGTTTATTGTTTTGTTTTTTTTCTGGGTAGTTATTTTTTTTTTAGTGTTCCAGTGTGTTTTTAAGTTTTTTGATTTTTGTTTTGTGCTTTGTGGTTAGAGTTTTTGGATTATAGTTTGAGGTTTATATTAGTATTTTTAGTAGTTTTGTTATTTAAAGACGTTTTTCTATCTTTTTTGGTTGTGTTGAGTTTAGTTATATGATTTTTGACGGGAGTTTGAGATTAGTTATAAATAGTTTTTCATTGTGTCTAATAGTATTAGTTGTTTGGATGTTTTGCTAGTGTTTGGCTTTATTTTCTTACGTTTGTAGTTTTTATTTTTTTTTTTGTTTTTTTTGGATGTTATTAGGTGTTATATTGATGTTGTGTTTTTTCCTTTTGGGTGGTTGTTTTTTTAGTCTTTTAGTGTTGTTTTTTGTTTTGGCAAGTAGTTGTCGTCTTTAGTTTTTAGTGTTTTTTTTGTTGGTGTTTTGTTTGTTAGGTGAGTTTGTTGGAGTTGACTATGTTGTCTTTATGTTTTTGTTTGTGTGGCTTTTATTTTGAGGTTGTTTTATCGCATGTGTGAGTTGTTTATGTCTTATCGTTTTTTTTTCGCTTTCTGTACTTTCTTTTTTTTTATGTTTGTGTATAGTTCATTTTGTTTATTTATGCTTATTTATGTATTTCTCTGTGTTCTTGTTTTAGGTATGTCGAGTTTTAGTTTGTTTTTGTCCGTTGGGTTGTGTATTTTTGGTTCTGATTGAGAGTGCTTTTATTTTTTTTTTTTAAGTGTTGAGGTTACCTGGGGGAGACAGTATGGAGATGAAAAGATTTAAAGAATTGTAGGTTTAATTCCCATATGTTAAAGATAAATATTCAATTTTTGCTTTGGCATGCTGTCTCTCTTATTTGGCTTCTAAATCTCCCTCTGAATGCGGCCTTTCATCACAGCAGAAATGATATTCAATTGTCGATATTTAATGAGATTTCAGGGAGGATGAGAGATGAGTATGCTGGGGGAGAGAGAGGGAGGTTAGAAAAGAGAAGGAAGAAGAAGGAGGGATGGAGGAAAAAGATGGAGAAATGGAGAAGAGGATAGAGATGGAGAAAAGAAAGAAAAAGAAGGAAGAGGAGGGAAGGAGGAGATGGAGGAGGAGAAGAAAGAGAAGGAGAAGGAAGAGAAGAAGAGGAGGAAGAAGACAAGACGAGGAGGAGGAGATGGAGGATGCTGGGAGAGAGGGAGGGTTAGAAAGAGAAGGAAGGAGGAGGAGGGGATGGGGGAAAAGATGGAGATGGAGAAGGGGATGGAGATGGAGAAAGAGAAGAAAAAGAAGGAGGAGGAGGTGAAGGAGGAGATGGAGAAGGAGAAGAAAGAGAAGGAGAAGGAAGAGAAGAAGGAGAGGAAGACGAGGCGCGAGAGGAAGAGAAGGAAGAAAAAGAAGAAGAAGAAAAGAAAAGAAGATATAGAAGAACAAGATTTTGTAGGAGGAGGAGGAAGAGAAGAGAAGAGTAGATATAGAAGATGAAGATATAAAAGAATAAGATTTCAGATTAGGAGAATATCTACAAGAAGAAGTAAGAGAAGGAGAAAGAGGAGAAAGAGGTGGAGGAGGATGAGGAGGAGAAAGAGGAGAAAGAGGTGGAGGAAGAAGAGAGGAGGAGGAGAAAGAGAGGAAGAAGAAGAGGAGGAGGAGAAAGAGGGGAGGAGAGGAGGAGGAGAGGAGGAGGAGGAGGAGGAGGAGGAGGAGGAGAGAGAGAAGAAGAAGAAGAAAGAAGAAGAAGAAGAAGAAGAAGAAGAAGAAGAAGAAGAAGAAGAAGAAGAAGAAGAAGAAGAAGAAGAAGAAGAAGAAGAAGAAGAAGAAGAAGAAAGATAAGAAAAAGAAGGTAAAAGAAGGAAGAGGAGAAAGAGGAAGAAAGAGGAAGAGAAGAGAGAGAAGAAAGAAGAAGGAGGAATGAAAAGGAGGAGGAGAAGGAGGAGAGAAGAAGGAGAAGGAGAAGAGAAAGAGAAGATGAAGAAGGAGGTGATAAAGAAGAAGAAGAGAAAGAGAAGAAGAAGAAGAAGAAGAAGAAGAAGAAAGGAGAAGAAGGAGAAAGAGGAGAAGAAGAAGAAGAAAAGGAGGAGAAGGAGAAGGAGAAAGAGAAAGAAGAAGAAGGAGAAGGAGAAGAGAAGAGAAGAGAGAGAAGAAGAGAGAAGGAGAAAGAGAAGAAGAAGAAGAAGAAGAAGAAGGAGGGTGAGAAGAAAGTGAAGGAGATGGGGAGGAGAATGATGATGAGGCAGAGGAAAAAAAAGAGGCAGAGGAAGAAGAGGGAAAAAAGAAGAGGAGGAAGAGGAGGATGAGGAGGAAGATGAGAAGATTGAGGATGAGAGGAAGATGAGGAGGAGGAGGAGGATATGAGAGGAAGAGGAGGAGGAGAAGGTGAAGAAGAGGAGGGGGGAAAGGAAGAGGAAGAGGAAAAATACAATGAAGATGAGGACGAAGACAAAGAAAAGATGATGATGGATATGAAATGATAAATATGACGGAAGGGATAAATATAAATAACACAAAATAGAAATGAAGGATAGATAAATGATTAAGGAAAGATAAATAAAGAAAAGGTAAGGAAGAAAAGAGCAAAGAAGGCATTTGGTAGTGAAGAAAGAGGAGACAGTTGATAAAGATGCAAAAAGAAAATGCAAAAATGAATTAAATGGTTTTCCATATGACATTTGCAACCATGGTATCACAGGTAAATAAAACAGCAAAATAATCACTTAACTAAGTATATTCAGCTAGCATACAATTCTATGCCATACAATACCCTTAAATTCATAGCACCAGTAGATAACGTTCCCATGCCTTTATTTAAGAAAAAGGTCAAGTCTAGAGATTTTTAAAAACCTAATTTTATTCAGATAAAAGTCATATCAGTTGCGACAATACAGTTTTTTTTCTTTCTAACATACATTACTGTATCATCACAACTGACAGCATCTTAGAATTTAGAAATATAAAAGCACAAGCAACAATGCTATCCTTTCCTTGGTCATCACTCTGCCTATATAAAGCTAAGGCCACGCTCGTCTTCTCTGTCCTGCGATCCCTAGAGAGCCTCGTCAAAGTCTAGTCATTTGACCAACCGCAAGCTGTAGCTGACCGGACTTAGGCAAGGCTGTTTAAGCATCCCAGGACCGAGAAGACGAGTGTAACCTTCGCATAATTGTGCTGAAGACACAAACCTTATTACATGTATCACATCTTTCTGGTTGTAACATAAAAAGAGAGAAATGTAGCTATAGATGAGACACAAATGTGAATGAATTGTAAAACTTACTTTGTTTGGCATTTACATGTTTCTTATTAGATAAATAATGCTTCTATCATCAGAATTTCCTTATACTGCCAATGCTTGTTTATCTGTCTACATGGAATAGGAGCATGTTCAAGTGAACGTTGTGTGAATAAGAAGCACAACAAGGAACTTTCCTTTTTATCCTCTACTAAGCAGTTATAAAGTGTTTTTAAGAAGTAAATGGAAAATTCTGGATAAAAACAGTGACACAAATCACGATAGGCAGACTTTCATTAGTCATGCTGCCTTACTGAAATCTTAAATGTGCTAATAATGTTGGGTTTACTGCAATTAACGTATACAGCATATAATCATAACCACTGAAGATTGGGCAGTCTCCAGGCAACTTATCTTAAATCTAGTAATAAAAATATTTTTGTGACTCTCTTATGTTTCTCTCCAGAAAAATCAACTAGTTTAATTTAAGACAAAATTTATCAATAAGACAAAAATCAAGTAAGAAATTATAATAACTACTTTTTGTATAATATTAATCTGACCAATCACTTACAAAAAAAAAAAAAATCAGCTGAATGGAGGCAACAAGAATATAATTCTGATATATTTAGTACGTCATAACATGCCTGGCTATCTCAAACAGGTAGAAACACATAATGCCCATGTAATGCTTTTTACGGAAACCTTACTATGAGTACTAATACTCAAAAAGTATAACTGATGGAAAAAGATGTGTCAATGACTGCATTTTGATAAGTGATTGCAAGTGAATTATCTAGCAATACTATAACACATGGTTCAGCAAATTTGTTGCAATGCATACTAAAGGCACATATGTGTCATCTGTCAAATGTACAAAGTGCCTAAAGGTATTTCTAGATTAAATTCTTAATATCACAACTTTTAAAAAATATGGATGAAATAGAGTAGGTAAAATATAATTAAAGTTATCCTTGAGCATATTGCATTAAACTGACATTACAGCCAAAATTTATGGTATAAAAATATGTATATCTATTTCTCTATTTGCAATGTCAGATAAATTATCATGGCAGGGGGTATCCAACATCAAATTTGACAAATATTTTATCATATAAAGGAGTAAAAATTGTAATTCACACGGAAGGAAACTGAGCAAATGTCTAGGAATCTTGATACACGACTACCAGTTTATAAGCTTCCCTGCTTCCAAGTTTACAACTCAGAACTGATCATATATGAACTGTCAGTTTGGAAACACATTCCCCCTTTTGATATCTGCGTATCTGTGTTTTGGATACTTGAGCTGAAATTATTCACACACTGACAACGCTGAATGGTGAACCTGGAAGCAGAGGGAACTGTACATACATAAACAGGCCAAAATGATAAAGACTGATTATTATGAAGAACCAACTTCTAATAACATGAACAAGAAAAGATCTAACGTAACACAGAGAGGGTAACTGTTATGATGGGAAGGCTTCAGGAGAAGGCGAGGAGTATTAACAGAAAAGAGTCACACATACCTATATTACTTTTTGTATTTGCATATCAAATTTGTCATTCAAGAAGTCTTCATATCTATTTCTAGAAAAGAAAAATAAATTCTTTACATCTCATCAGCAGTACAAATTATCAAAAATACGGATAAGGAGGTAGGAGGGCACTGTAGAACGGTCCTTGGATTATGGACGTCGTTTCACTTGAATTAACTATTCTTACTAAGTATCCTAACTGAATATAACTTTTAATTCCATACTTGGTTTCACCCACAGTTTGTAACCATGATCAATGATTTTAAATCATATTGACTATCCTTAATGGCAATTAGCTATATTCCAGAAAAATGCTATACCATATGGAATTTACAGTTAAAATTCCATGGAACAACATTCTATTTCCATATATAACATTAGATTCAATGACTGAAATCATAAAGAAGCTATATATACAACACATATATAATATATTCAATACACAAACATATACATAATATATATAGTTATATATGTATATGTATATGTATATATATGTATGTATGTGTGTGTGTGTGTGTGTGTGTGTGTGTGTGTGTGTTGTGTGTGTGTGTGTGTGTGTGTGTGTGTGTGTGTGTGTGTGTGTGTGTGTGTGTGATATACATATATATTTAATGTCTAATATGTATATAATAATATATATATATATATATATATATATATATATATATATATATATATATATATATATATATATATACATATATGTATATATGTGAATATGTGTATGTATGTATATGTATGTGTATATGTGTTTATGTGCTTGCAGACATGTATATTTACATGTGTGCATATGTATATATGTATATGTGCATGTATACATGTATATGTATATATGTATATGTATAATCATATACCTACACAATCTTCCGCAAAATTATGCAAACAGATGGACATATTTAAAATACTACACAGTTGCACACGCTCTCTCCAATGTATCATTACCCTCTCTTCGATCCATTCTCTGCGTTCTGATATGGATTATTCCCGCGTTTTAGGACTAGATTCCTTTCTCTGCCTCTGCCTAAACCAAGAGTATTCAAGAATCAAGAAATAATCTTTTCCAGGTGAAAATAATCTAATGGTCCTTGACACCAACAATTTCCTTCATCACCTTCATTGCAATATCGCCTGCATCCGCTGGAACCTGGAAAAAAAAATGCAAAGGAAGATTTATATCTTTATGACAGACATAGTCTACCAATTCTATTCGCATAACAATACAAATGTTTTGGCTCTTCCAACCTCATGGGTTAAAAAATAGAATCATTCCAATAACGATGATGATAATGATGATGAAGATGATGGTGAAGATGATGATGATGATGAAGATGATGATGATGGTGAAGATGATGATGATTGATGATGATGTCATACCATATGCCCAGCTTTGAGGATCCAGTAGAAAGTGAAATTCTTGAAATTCTTGGAGAAGGCTTCTGTTACTCCTGCAGAGGACTCAATTGGTTTCCTGGCAGCGCTAATCCAGTGGCTGGTTCCGGCCCATTTCATGCCCTCAACCCACTTCTCTACTCCTGCATTTTGGAGAAAAAAAAAAAAAAAGTTAACACACAAAGAGAAGGACAGATTGGGAGAAGTTATGAAAGATGAGGAACATCTAGCCTTTGTATAAGATATGAGAAAAAAATATGAAATATGACTATAAAAATAATTTATAATCTGTCAGCTATCACTACATACATTTTTCCATTCACAAATTCGAAAGAAAGAAAAAAAAGAAAAGATTATGGCATACCAGGTGTATCAACTATGAGATCAAGCTGGCCATTGTACACAACCACAGCCATGGATGTTGTATTAAGCAGCACCTCCACTGTAAAATATTAGAATTATATAAAGAACTGGAAGAATCAATAATAAAGAAACAAGTAAAGAACAGAATAATAATATTCAGGATCATGGTCTTCAACTGATGCATGACAAGTCCAGTAAATTAACTGTTATTCAAATAAGACTTATCCAACGAGTATTAGTAATAATGACTTTCATATGAATCTTAAATACAGTATACTTCAGTGATTTTACCTTTCAGGCAATTTCTCCAAAACATAAGAGCAAATGTCAGCATGAAGACAACTCTTTCTAAAATATCATCAACTTTAAAGTATACCACAAACCATTCTGAACAGCCGATGTCATGAAGTCGTCCGACAAGGCTTCAAAAACTTGTGCCGACTGCCCACCCCATGTCACATTTTTAGGAATCACCTTCAACTTATCTCGTATTGGCCCATTCATCAACTTGTCCAATACACTAGATACTGATTCAACATGGCGCTTGTATAGCAGCTCTGTGGAAGCATAGAAATTACATTAGCAAATCATCTGAAGGATAAACTAGCCTAATTCTATATAAGAGAAACAACTTACCTGAAGCAACAATACTCTTTTGATATTCATTGTGGTTCTTCTAGCTACTACTGACTCACCTAAATTATGTGGTAAAGAAATATGTGGTTTCCTGTGGGGATTCCTATGTTCTCTCTCCTCCACCCTATATATAACATTTGTTATATAATGCCTCCTAGCACTGTGCTTGCCCTCTCTTCCATGAACATGATCTCTAATAATATTAGGTCTTCTCTGTACTTTCTTTTCTGATTTTTTTTGCTTGTCATCTCCTTTGTGACTGCCTCTGTCTCCATTCGTGCTTCTTGCATGGATACGACTGTAATGATCTTCGCGTCTTTTGCTCTCTCTGTGGCTGTCTTTTTGTGTCTTTTCCTTATGTTTTCTCATTTTATGTTCATGTGCTTTGGAATGAGGATTGGACAAGAAAGTTTATTTTTCAGAAGAACTGTACAGACCAAGCAATATAGTAAGAATGCTGTTCTCTCGCAGAAATATAATATCACATGTAGAGAAAAAAAACATCACATTAAGACAAATTTCAAGACAAGAAATTAAAATTTGGAAAACAGAACCTACAAAAAAGTGAAAATACAAAGGGAAACAATCTGTAAATAAGCTTCAGGTGGAGTTGACATGAAAAAATAATTCTAGTCTAATATATGTGAAGCTAATTGGAAATAGAAAGGGGTTACTACTAGGTAGACTTACTTGCAAAAGGATTACTAGTTTTAGATACATTACCAATACTTTTTGAATGTTCTGAAAACTGAATCGTATAAACACTTATCACGAAAGACTTAGCAAAGCATAAATTTTTGCCGCACACAAGAAAAAAAAGAAAAAACTTTTTGAAAAAATTTCTTACCAATTTGAGGTGACGTAAATGTGTGCTCCCTCTGATGGCCTATGTGGTTGCTTCTGGCGTCGTCTTTGTCGTGGTTAAGGATGTTGTAGAAATTCACCCCATTGGTTACGTTTTCGACCACTTCTTCAGCTTCTGACCACAGTTTTGTTGCGTCTCCCATTTTCCCAGCCTTGACGGCATTGGCAACTTCTTGTGCTTTGCTATTGACCTTTTTCAGCCCAATAGAATCAACTAGTGACTGAAAGTAGTCATAGAATTAACGATATTTTGAATTGTAAAGAAAAAAAAAAAAGGAAGTGCTTCCAAGTACTATACTCCTCATTAAAAAAAGGCATAATAAGTACTTAGATTCATCATCAACACAAAACATTCACTTTCAATAAGAGAAAACCTGATTAAAAAAATAAATTCTTACCACTGAGTGTAGGTAAGGACCCCATGAGAGAACGGCGTCCACAGGGGAGACCCATGAATCCCCGAGTGCTACACCGGCAAGCTGACACGTAATCTTCTTCTGCTGAATAGCCTGTGTAAACATTATACCTATAAACTAAAAGCTCTGAACAGGCAAAAATTACTTATATCATTTTACACAAAATTTTCTAAATCTTCTGGCTTCAGGGGTAACTTACACAAAAATTTAAATAATATCCAGAAGCACTTACAAATAAAAGAAGAAAAATCCTACACATAGTGCCATATGAGTATTATTGTTATTACTGTCAAAACTGTTCCATGGTTGAAATTGCAATCATAAAATATATGGATTTGGTTCTGAATGTGTATGCATGTGCAAGAGTGTGTACGTGCATGAGTATAAGTCAGTGCCTGAGTAAGAGTCTCTGTGTATATATGTGGCTGAGTATGAGTGTGTGTCCCTGAATGTGTACATGCACCTGAGTGTGTGTATGCGTCTGGGTACATGTGTGTTCCAGAGTGCATGTCTTTGAGTGTGTGTGCTTCTGTTCTTTAGCGTGTGTCCTGAGTGTGTGTGTGTAAATCTGGGTGCAAGTGGATATCTCTGCACATGGCAAGGCAAGGATGTGTGTATGATACTATATGTGAGCATATGTATATGTGTGTATCTGTGTGTGTGTGCATATGTGAGGACTTGTGCATACGTATATATGCATGTGTATGTGCATGTGCATGTGTGTGTGTGGTGTGTGTGTGTGTGTATGTGTATGTGTATGTGTATGTGTTGTGTGAGGTGTGAGTGTGTGTGTGAGTGTGAGTGTGTATCTGTGAGGACTTGTGCATATGTATATGCGTGTGCGTGTGTGTGTGTGTGTGTGTGTGTGTGTGTGTTGTGTGTGTGTGTGTGTGTGTGTGTGTGTGTGTGTGTGTGTGTGTGTGTGGTGTGTGTGGTGTGTGTGGTGTGTGTGTGTGTGCGTGCGTGCGTGCGTGCGTGCGTGCGTGCGTGCGTGCGTGTGTGGTGTGTGTGAGTAGCGTGTGTGTGTGCGTGTATGAGTGTAAATGAGTGTGTAAGCGAGTAAGTAATTGTGAGTTGGTGCAAGTGAGTGGGTGCAAGTTTGAGTGTGAGTGCCTCTATACATGTACTTGAATCTACACTTTCTCATGAAAAGAGGCAATTGAGCCAGCCATGACGACCACATAATCAAGCGTGCCCCCCCCCCCCCTCTCTCTCTATCCTCCTCTCGTTCTCTCTCTCTCTCTCCCCCCCCCCTCTGCTTCTCTCTCGTCTTTATTTCTCTCTCTCTCTTTACTTCTCTCTCTCTCTTTTCTTTCTCTCTCCTCTCTCTCTCTCTCTTTATTCTTCTCTCTCTCTGCTCTTTCCTCTCTCTCTCATCTCTTCTCTTCCCTCTCTCTCTCTCTCTTTCTTTTCTTCTCTCTCTCTTCTCTCTTCTCTCTTCTTCTATCTCTCTCTTCCTCCCCTCTCTCCCTCTTTCTTACCTTCTCCTGCTCCTCTCTCTCTTCTTTCTTTTTTTCTCTTCTCTTCATCTCTCTTCTTATTTCTCTCTCGTCTCTCTCTTTCTTTATTTCTCTATCTCTCTCTTCTTTATTTCTCGCTGCCCCGGCCGCCCCATGTCGATTTGTCTTCACTTTGGTACTCACCTCCCTATCTCTCTTTTATTTCTCTCTTCTTCGATCGTTTCTTTATTTCTCTCTCCTCTCGTTCTTTCTTATATTTCTCTCTCTCTCTATTTCTTTATTTCTCTCTCTATCCTCTATTTCTTTTATTTCCTCTCTCTCTCTTTCTTTATTGTTTCTCTCCTCTCTCTTTCTTTCTTTCTTTTGCTTCTTTCTTTCTTTCGTTCGTGGCCGTCCGTTCGTCCGTCCGTCTGTCCGTTTTCGTTCTCCTCTCCCGTCCGCCCCTCTGCCTCTCTGCAGAAAAAAAGATAAAAGCCATATTTGAAGTTCTGAAAGCATCTTCCAACATCATGTTCCCGCCCATTAAAACGTCCCGCCCATATTCTATCGTTGCCCATTGTTCCAGGCGACTGGTGCGAACGTGGACGCGCCATTTTCCCGCATACCCACATGACTTAGCCCGCGAAGACGTAGATTCGGCACGCCCGACACGACAAGGCACGATCGTCCCCCCCCGATACCCCTCCCCCCCACGAACGTGAGCACCCCGAAACCATATCTCATTGCCTCCTTTTCCCCCCTTTTAGTCCTCACTACCCACCCCCAATCCGGGTAACCGGCCCTCTCCCGCCAGAGCTGTCATCCGCTCGATGCCCCGATCGGCCGTCCATACGCATCTTTTTTTGACGTGGCGCATACGAGGCTTGCTGTTCGCCTACTATCCGGGGCATGCCACTCCTTCTCTTGGCGACCCCCTGTTTTGTTCACCCTTGATGCGCCGCCGCACCCCCACTTCGCTCGCTGGCTCTCCCAGAAAGCCCCGCTCTCGGCGAATCAGAGCACCACCGCCCCGCTGACGCACTCCCCGACCTTTCTATGAGCCCGTACCCGTGAAGCCGCCACACAACGAGACTCGGGACACTAACTGTTGTCAAGGTGGGAGAAAAAGTACCACGACTCATTCAGAAATAAGGATTCAGTGCAATTCATCACTATTGTTCACGAGGGGATGATCATTCAGTCAAGGTTGTGAAAAGGTATGAAATGAGAAAAGCGAATATGCTTCACAATACAGAGAGATGGATTTAACCCGGTTATCCGGATTATATCCTGTCGTCAGGACAAGGAGGTTACACTGATTCCCCTGGATGGAAGACGGTAACTCGAAAACCGGTTAACATCCATCGTCTCTGTAGTTGTGAAGAATACTTCGCGACTTTCTCAGATCATGACGCTCTGTCCACATTTGCGCGACATGAGACTCACGGTTGCGAAGCGAAGTTAGCGAATACTGGAAAAGAGGATGACAGCACAGACTTCATGTGACGTAGTGCGTGTTTCAGTGGTGGAATGAATTATCAATACTGAAAAAGATAGAGGAATTCATGGCACTATTGTTCAGGGCGGATGGAATTACTGCAAATGCAGCTTGCGAAAAAGATTCAGGCAAATTATTGTTTCAGGGGATGATTATCAATACTGAAAAAAGATACAGGAATTCATCACTATTGTTTGCAGGGATGATTATCAATTACTGAAAAAGATTACAGGAATTCATCACTATTGTTCAGGATGATTATCAAATACTGGAAAAAGAATTCAGGCAATTTCACTTTGTTCAGGGATGATTATCAATACTGAAAAACAGATAACTACCGGATTCATCACATGTCAGTGGAAGATTATCAAATTACTGAATAAAAGATACCAGGAATTCATCACTATTGTTTCAGCCTCCCAGGACGATTATCAATAGTGAAAAAGATTCAGGCAATTTCATCACTATTGTTCAGTGGAAGATTATCAATGAAAAAGATTTCAGGCAATATTAGTTCACTATTGTTCAGGGATGATTATCAATACTGAAAAAAAAGATACTGGCAATTATTGTTCAGGGATGATTATCAATACTGAAACGATTTAAAAAATCAGGCAATTCATCACTTTTGTTCAGGGACGATTATCAATACTGAAAAAAGATACAGGAATTCATCACTAATTGTTCAGGATGAATTATCAATTGTGGAAAGGTATGAATGAGAACGAATATCTTCACAATACAAGAGATGTATTTAACCGGTTTCGATTATATCTTCGTCAGAAATACATGTATTTCTGACGAAGATATAATCGAAACCGGTTAAATACATCTCTTGTATTGTGAAGATATTCGTTCTCATTCATACCTTTCCACATTTGTCAACATGAATACGGTTCAAGATTATCAATACTGAAAAAGATACAGGAATTCGTCACTATTGTTCAGGGATGATTTCATCAATAGTGAAAAAAGATTTAAAAAAATACAGGAATTCATCACTATTGTTCTCAGGATGATTATCAATACTGGAAAAAGATACAGGCATTATTGTTCAGGGAAGATTACTCAATACTGAAAAAGATACAGGAAATTCATCACTATTGTTCAGGGAAGATTCGCTGACCGTTGGGACAAAATGCTGAAGGCTAATTTGAATTCTGCTTCTGACATGAATTGAGAGAATTGAGAGAATTGAGAGGATTGTGAGCGAAGGGAAGCGAAAGGGGAATAGGCGATGGGCGGATGAAGAGGGGAAAAATAGGATAAATGAGGATAAATAAGGAGAAAGGTTGGGGGGAGGCAAGTAGGCCTATAGCTAGAAGAAAGGAAGTGAAGAGAGAGAAAGCAAAGATCTGGTGGAAAAAAAAGGAAATGCAAGAATCTGGTGAACAAAAAAAGCGGGAAACAAACGTAAAACTTTTTAGAAAGAGCAAAATAATGGAGGGAGGAAGAAGGAAACTTCACCCCCTCCACAAATACAGTCAGAAAAGGGAAGAAGAAAATGTGAAGAAGAGAAAAAAAATACAGTAAATAAATAAAAAAAATAAAAAAATACAGTAAATAAATAAAATAAAGAGAGTAAACGCTAACGTGGAAAAAAAGACGGAACAACAGATGCAACATATACTCCCAAAAAACCGACAAAATGAAAGAAAAAACAAATAAAACCTTGTACAAACACACACACGCCTCCCCCATCACACACAAGTGTCTGGCCCTGCATATACTTTATCCATTACGTATAAAAGCGATGGCGTCCATTGGTTGAGGCGCCGCCACTGTCCCAAGGCCACAGGTGCTCCGGACTCCTGAACCAAACGCTTCCAATTGGTTTAATTAAATGCGCAATAATATCCAAGCCTTTTTCTTTTAATTCAACATTCATTTCTCGCAAATCTAAACTAACACATACGCCGATGGGAACTTAGAATCTAATTCTAGTTAATTCTAATTCTTTCTTTCTCTCTCTCTGTCGGTCTCTTCTCTCTCTCTTTCTCGTCTCTCTGTCTCTCGCCTATGCTCTCTCTCTCTCTCCTCTCTTTCTCCCCCTATCTCACTCTCTCTCTCTCCCTACCTCTCAGCTCTCTCTCTCTCCTCTCCCTCCTCTATACTTCTCCTACTCTCTCTCTCTCTCTCTCTCTCTCTCTCTCTCT